CTTTAGGCATAGGTCTTATCTTGCATGAATGGGTCATTTCAGCTGTGATTTTTAAAATCTTAAGACAAGCTTCTGTACCCTTGAGGCTGTTTTTTTCAGTTCCCAGGCTAGGGGCCAATGTGCCATTTCCCAAGAGTATCCCAGGTGAAAATCTCTGGGACATCCAGTCACCTCGACCACTTCTGTAATTGAGAGGGGATCCAGGGAAATGGAGGCACACTCTTTCTAAGAATTAAAAGATCTTTACATTTTAGGAAGAGGTATGCAATGCTTTCCCTGTCTACGTTTTAGGAATGCTTGTAGGAAAGGGAATTGGTCATCCCTTCAGCTCCATCCGTTTTTACATCTCATTAGGAATGGGGATTTTACAGGTTGATGGCTAGTACATGAACACACAGCCCATGATGAATCAGCCATGTTTCCCAATATGTATACTACAGACCAATGCTTCGCAAATTTCGATGTGAATCACCTGCGCATCTTATTAAACTGCAGACTCTGATTCAGCAGGTCCGGGTGGGGCCTGGAAGTCTGCATTTCTGACTAACTGCCAGGCAGTACTGCATGCTGCTTGTCTGGGAATCACACTTCTGAGTAGCAAAGTTGCAGAACCCTAATCTGTTAGTAGAACACAAGTTGCTCAAGAAAAGAGAAGGAAAGGTCAGGAGTAAATGGATAAAGGTCAGGAGTAAATGGCATACCTTATTGACACCTATTTTTTTTTTTTTTTGGGACGGAGTTTTGCTCTTGTCGCCCAGGCTGGAGTGTAGTGGCACAATCTCGGTTCACTGTAAGCTCTGCTTCCCGGGTTCAAGCGATTCTCCTGCCTCAGCCTCCTGAGAAGCTGGGATTACAGGCACCCATTACTACGCCCGGCTAATTTTTAGTAGGTTTAGCAGAGATGGGGGTTCGCCATGTTGGGAAGGCTGGTCTTGAACTTCTGATCTCAAGTGATCTGCCTGTGTAGGCCTAGCAAAATGCTGGGATTACAGGTATGAGCCCCCGTGCCTGGCCACCTTATTGACATCTTAAAGGCCCTGCGAAAGTCCTGCAGGTAAAAAGAAACTGTTTACTTGTTTTACCCAGGGTCAAATTCATTTGATGATGAAACATTTTTGTTGTTGTTGTTCCCAAGGAAAACCTATTAATGTTCAGTGGAATTAGTTTTCTTTGTATCACACTTTGGAAAACAATTTAGCATGAGAGACAGAGATTGTCCTACAACTTTGTTGACTGTAAATGGGCCCGTAGTCAACTAAGGCAGCCACCTGGGAAAGTGCCAGTGTGTGATGAGTAAAAGCTTGGGATGTGAAGCTGAGTCAAAACCTGAGGCTGAGTCTTGGCTCTCCATTTGGGGGTCAGTCAACTTCTCTGAGCCTTGATTTTCTAATGCATAAAATGGGAATGATGAAAGACCCTGTACGTGGATGCTGTTATTACAGTTGCCTGGATTAGCAAAACAGATGATATTGAGCATCTTGGCTAGAGTGAAAAGTGCTCAGACCAGAAGAAACCCAGCAGAATGGTAATATATGAAGAACAGAAATGTGAGCAGGAAGGATCCCTGGAGACTGATGCAGAACCCTTAATTATAGATTGACTTCACTGCACAGTGGAAAGAATTCACCCAAGACCAAAGACCAATTCACCCAAGCAGCAGAGAGTGGACCGGGACCCAGAACTCTGGCTTGAGCCCACTGCCCTGCAGTCCATCTTGCCAGAGCCTCACCAAGTCACCCAGAGTACCCCCTGAGGTTTCCTGTAAGGAGCTACCTTTGTTCCAAACACAGCTTTTTGGGATGAAAACAATCGTCATGCATGAAATCCGGAATGCACACGGTTCTTCTGTCAGCAGTGCGTTTGGAGCTGCGGGACAGGGCAGGAAAAGGAACAAGGTTTTACGCACTGGCACCTTTCCCCTGGAGGAGCCCAGGCGCGGCATCCCCACCATAGCCTGGTTAGAATCCTAGGGTTTACCAGTGCTCCCGTGGAAGCAGTAGTGACCCTCCTACAGAGACAGTGCCTGTGGCATCTGCAGGCCCGAAGAGATCCTGCAGAGTCGGGGCCAATCTTGTAGAGACCAGGGAGTGCCCCCAGCTCGCCAGGGCACTTTCCTGTGGCGAAGCCTGCTGGGTTTGGGAGCAGGAAGTTGCTGCCAGGTGAAAGGTGGGAGGGGACTCTCCTGCAACCCACGGCTGCCTGCACCCCAGCCTGGTGCTTGCTCCCTCTGTGTGCAGGCGAAAAAAACAAGAAGCAAACAAATGCCCCGCTTTTCTCTTGCTCATTTTCCTTCTCCCCTCCCCTTCCCTCCTCTCCCCTCCCGTCGCCTCCCCTCTCCTCTCTTTCTTTTCTTTTCCCTCCCTCCCTTTCTCCTTCTTTCTTTCCTTCTCTTTTCTTTTCCTTTCTTTCTCTCTCCCTCCCTTCCTTCTCTCTCTGTTCTTTTCCTTTTTCTCTCTTTCCCTCCCTCCCTCCCTCCCTCCCTCCCAGAGTCTCACTCTGTTGCCCAGACTGGAATGCAGATCTCGGCTTACTGCAACCTCTGCCTCCCAGGTTCAAGCAATTCTCCTGCCTCAGCCTCCCGTGCAGTTGGGATTACGGGCTTGTGCCACCATGCCCGGCTAATTTTTGCATTTTTAGTAGTAAAGACGGGGTTTTGCCACACTCTGGCCTGTAACTCCTGACCTCAGGTGACCTGCCCTCCTCAGCCTCCCAAAGTGCTGGGATTGCAGGTGGGAGCCACCGCACCTGGCTGCTCTGGCCTATTTTCTATGCTGAGCCTTAGAATATCCCTGAAAGGTACCTCGAGTTATCCACGTTCCTGAGGGGGAAAAGAAGGCTCCAGGAGCAGGATGACATGTCCAGGGTGCTAAGGCTGGGACGTGATGTGCAGGTCCCTCTCTAGTCTGCCTCTGAAGCCCCAGCCTTGTTTTCACTCCGCCATCTCCAGACAATACAAGTGGGTGCATTTGCTGTGATAGCTGAGAGCTGTTACCTCCTAGCTAATTTCCTAAAAACCATCTATTTCTCACCCTCTCATTCTGGGTGGGGAAGCAGAGCCCGGGGAGCATAGGTGAGGCGCTAGAGTGGACGGAAGGAAGCTTGGGGTCTGGGAACAAAACGACAATCCAGGAAAAAGGCCTCACCAATGCCCTGATCACATGATGCTAACATGGGAGGGAGCTTACAAAGTTCTTTCACATCCATTTCTCGGTTCTAACGTCTCAGGAGTGGGCAGGGCAGGGTTTATAATTCTCTTTTTACAAGTGAAGGAACTCAGTCTTGGAGCTGGCATGACTTGTCTCCAAGTTCTCAGGGGAGTCTGGATTAGAACCCCAGGCTCTGGATTGGCCCAAGCGACCCCAGGAACTAGACTAGAGGCTACCACTGTTTGGCCCACACCCCTCTACCACTGCCACAGCCAGGAGAAATGAGGTCCTGTAGAACAGCTGTGTAGCACTGTTCAGAACTGCCCACTGCTCCGTGCCAAGCAGAAAAAGTGTGAGGTTTGTGAATCATCCCGCTATACAGCCCAAGACTCAGCCTGAACCAGTCAGCCTGAACGGGGGGTGTGTGTGTGTGTGTGTGTGTGTGTGTGTGTGTGTGTGTGTGTGTGTAGGGGTGGGAGTGGGGGCTGGAGGAGAGGCAGAAAGAACTGCAGGCTCCGCGATTTCCCGGGAGGGAAGCAAGCCTCCAGGCAGAAAGCCAGGAGTGTCCCTCATTGCTCCAGCAAATGGGTCCTGGAGGAGTCATCCCACATCCCCGCTGCTGATGGGTAGTATGGTGGTGAGGAGAAAGGGCATCGCTGTGTCCCCCAAGGACTCCGGCTGAATCTGGGAGGAAGCCCGCTTATTTGTCTTTTTTCCCGTACACCATTTTGACTTATTTTCCTGGTCCGGAGAAGGAGCTGTAGCATAAACTAAGGCTCCGTTCTTGGGGGCCTGTTGGCTCCTTGGTGTCTGTAATTGGGACATTGAAAGAAAAAAAAAAAAGAAAAGAAAAGAAAAAAAAAAACAAGCCCACAGAGGAGTGGATGATCTTTTATACTTAAAGTTCCCCCCTCTATAAAAGCGACATATTACAAACCTCTTTCTCCTCTGGAACATTTCTTGCTAAGTGCATTCTGATGCCACATTGAAACGCAAAATAGCTGGAATCAAGCAGGCACCGAAGGCTATTTATATGCTAATCTCTATTTCCCAAGCTGAAGCAGGAACCTCGAGCTTGGTGCTGCTTCTAATGATGGCTCGGCTTTAACCTCTCTGGAAGAAAGAAAAGTATTTTCCTTAAGAAAACAACTCAGTTTCTTTAAGATGAAATGTAATTATCTATTATCAGATGTCCCTTAAAATGCAAGGCCTATTAAAGCTGCTAAAAATATTGAAGCCCTAATTTCACCATAATAGCATTTTAATTTCAGCAAATCACGCTTCTATTGTTACAGGACATTTTGCGGTAGGAATGTGGTAAGAGGTCCATCTTAGCTTTTTTCTTAACATTTTCCTTTCTTTGAGAAGTACAATTAAATCATTGCAATCATCTAACCTTGCTCGACACAAAATTTTACTTATCAAATGTGAAAACAATGGTCATTAGCATTTAAAAGAATTTGTTTTAAAAGTAGCTAAAGTTTAATTGCTTTAAATATTCTCGTCGGATTGTGCAGCGGCTGTTGGTTCAACGTTCTTATTAAAGAGAGACGGTGTTTAATTGATCACCGAATTTCAATGAAAAATATTTACTTTCTTTCCGGGTGAAGTATGAAAGAGGTGTCTCGCTGGACCCTCGAGGAGGAATGGTTCTGAGGGAGGCGAATGCTTGGTAGGGAGTTTCTGGCAGAGTGACCCAGCTACGGTGCTCACCTCTTCATTGGATGCATTGTGGGGAACTTATCCTGTGAAAGTTTCCAAAGCAAACCTCACCAATCCCCTTTTTAACAGACATCGATAAGAAGCTTGTGTGGCTCCCTGCAAAATGCTAGAACTTGTTTTCTTGTTTTTCAGAGACCCTGTGAGCATTAAAGCCAGTAAAGAGGGGGAATTTCATGCGGAGAAGACCAGCCTGTCCACTTCCAGGTGGGTTCACCTTTTAACATGGGAGGAGAGGGCTGGCGTGCAGGGTGGGACCATTCTCTGAAGGGTCTTCTGCCCATACCTGCTGGTAAAAGCAAATGCTTTTACAAACCTAGATCAATCCACATCTCTCTCCTCTCTTATTTGACGTTTTAGGCCACCTTCGTGGGGGCTGAGTCACCACCGAGGTTCACCAAGTTTGCAGAATTTCTGAGTTCTTGGGAGAGGCTCTGATAGGCAGGAAGAGTAGATGGACAGGGCAGGGCAAGAGCATCCACTCAGTAGGCTACTGATTGGGGCCGGCGGGCGCGCGCGCGCACACGCGCGCGCACACACACACACACACACACACACACACACACAAAGTGTAACTGACCCCGGTAATTAGTACTATTTGTTGAGCACTCACTATATGCCAAGCATTGTGTTGAGTTTTTTAGATGCATCATTTCCCTTCATCTTCACAATAGTCTTATGATGGGGGGATATTGCCCCCATTTTCCCAATTCAGAAACTGAGACTCACGGAGGTTAATTTGTCCAAACTTATGTGGCCAGCAGGAGGCAGAACCCCAATTCATCTGAGATCCACCTGGCAACAACCTCTGTACTATGCTGCCTTCTACCTACTTCTGCTCCCAGAGACCACCTGAACTCCAGCCCAGATCTGGCTCCAGACAGCTCCCCTGGCTCCGTGCTACTTCCTTGCTGCCACCTCTGCCTTGGAGCCCTCTGGAGCCATGTACACATGGAATTTGAAAAGTCTCACCATTCTTTCCCTCTCAGGGTCTGTTTCCTACCTGTAAAATGAGGAACTTGGATGACCCAGTCTTTAAGAGCTCTTCTAGGTCCAAGGTCCTCTGGATTCAGTTCAAGTCTACAGAAGGACACTGAGCACCTACTCTGGACCAGACCTCTGGGGCCTTGGGTGTGCTGAGATGGTGACATGGGTCCCTGTCTTCTAGATGAACACCAGCTCAGTAGTGCCAGCTGTCTTCCTGCGCATGTGCTCCAGCTGCACCCTGCACAGCGTGGGTAGAGTCTTTTAGGGCTGCAGGACAATCTGAGATTTCACGTGGTTTTCCCTTTGCTGGACAAACTCCTACTTCTTTTTAAATAAGCAGCTCAAGAATTACCTCTTCTGGGGAGACGTTTTGGCTCCTTTTCAAGCCCAGATTCCCATGATCCTTCTAGTCTTCCTCTTATAGCATCTACTCCTGCAATAGAGAAATAAGTACATAGCTTCGTTTAGATCCCTGGCTCCACTGCTCACTAGTGTATGATCTCAGGGCCCATTTCCTTGTCCATGCAGTACAGTGATAACGGTGTCTATCTGTCCCTCCTGACATGAGATTTATATAAAGCTCCTAGAACTGTGCTTATAAAGCACTCCTTTCTATTAACATGGTAAAGGTTCTTATTGGTAGGTGTGTCTTCCAGCCAGCCTGTGTGCTCCACCAGGTCTGGTACCACAGGACTGTCCCCCTTTATATCCTTATGTCTAGCACAATGACTGCTGCATAGCAGAAAGCACTCCACAGTGGCCAAGAACACTTGGCCATTTCATGCCACCGACTGGCTGTGTGACCTTGGGTAGGTTCCATGACCTCTCTGGCCTTCCATTTCTTCATTTGTAAATGGACATAATTACAGTGCCCTGATTATGCAATTACTGGGAGAATGAAATGAGGCCAAGCTGGTAAAGTGAAGTCTTGCTCAGAACATCTATAAGAGTTCAACCCATCATGTCTATCAGGTTACCAGACTCTCATTAATAACTGACATCTGTATTCCAGTCTCACATTCTTATCTCATTTAATCCTCACAACAGCTCTGAGAGGGGCCTCCATTATCGTCTCTGTTTCTCCAAGATCTTACAGCTGGTAAGAGGTAGGTCGCCTGACCTCACATCCCGGCCTGCATTTCCTACCGCATGACATCCGCTCATATCGTGAAGTCAGACAGATGAGGGAATGACTCTCATATAGTCTAAGTAGTCTTCCATAAAAATTAGGTGGGGCTTGGGCTCCTGGCTTGTTAGGAATTCCAGCTAAGCTGATTTCATAATGGTGGGTCCTGAAGTGACATCTCCAACAGGAAGCTGCCCTTGGCTTTTTATACTCTTCAGGGGCTGTTATAAATTTGATTATATCTGAAACAGAAGATTTCAAGTTGAAGTCCCCTTTGTCCACTCTGGAATTCAGATTTATTTCTGAGAGACCAGTGCAATTTTCTTATCTTTGTTACAAATTACTACAGTCTGGGTTAATCTCACGCAGCAATAAAGCTGTTTGCCTAGGAAGCTTCCTGCAGTGTCAGAGCTGATGAATGGCTCCCTCTGGCTATAATAATTCAGTCTAGAACACTGAAAAAAAATACCAACTTGGTTCTTCTGCAGGAAACTCCACCGCATGCTTGGCTGCTCAGATTGTTGGGAATCAGAGCCTCTCACTTGGGTTAGGGCATTGGAACCTTACACCCATGAGATCTGAGGGGCTCTGTGGTGGAGTGACAGGCAGCATCGCCCCTCTGCTTTGTAAAGAAGGCAGTCCTGTCTGGAGTTTTCTAAGTGTGGATGTAGATGGGCAGTAGAAGCCAGAGCAGGCAGACAGGACAGGCTGAATGACTTCAGGATGAGGAAGTGAGTGGGCTGGCCTCAGAAGCAGACAAGAATGCACTGTGGGTGAAGGGGCAGAGGACTTGTATTTCATTCATTCAACAATGACTGTAGTTTAAAAAATCTAACATGCACACTGATTAGACAATGCACGACTGACTTAATAAAAACTGACTGGGGGCCAGGGGGAGTGAAATGCAACCATTTTCAATGTGCACATTGATTTTAAGGCTCACTGTTGTGGTCCTAGGAGGTATTCTAGGGAGATTGAGATCTGAAGGATGGGAAGAGATGGTCAGGGTGTGTGTGTGTGTGTGTGTGTGTGTGTGTGTGTGTGTGTGTGTGTCTGTGTGTGTGTGTGTGTGTGTGTGTGTGTGATATCTAAGCAGTTGGGAGGAAGAATATTCAGGAAGAGACACTAGCACGCCCGAAGATCTTGAGACATGAAGACTTGCTCAAGAAACTGAAATGAGGCCAGTGTGACTTTGGGGCAAGGGGTTGTGGAGAGATAAAGCTGGGGGTCAGCAGGGCACATCATGTGAAGGACCTTACAGCCTGAGCAACAAGTTTAGATGTTATTCTGAGGACAACAAATTCCTCAGAAAGGTTTTAAGAAGCAGATCAATATATTCTGTGTTTAGGGTACATAGGAGGTGGGCTGGTTAATACTGAGTGTCAACTTGATTGGACTGAAGGATGCACACAGCATTTTCCTTTATCTGTGAGGGCGTTGCCACAGGAGATTAACATTTGGGTCAGTGAACTCCGGGAGATACAGACCCACCCTCAATCTGGGTTGGCACCATCTAATCGGCTGCCAGTGTGGCTAGGATAAAAGCGGGCAGGGGACAGGAAGGACTAGGCTGGCTGCGTCTTCCGGCCTCCAGGTTTCTCCCGTGCCGGGTCCTCCCTGCCCTCGAACATTGGACTTCACATTCTGCAGCTTTTGGACTCTTGTACTTACACCAGTGGTTTGCCAGGCGCTTTTGGGCCTTTAGCCACAGACCGAAGGCTACACTATCAGCTTCCCTACTTTTGCTGTTTTGGGACTTGGACCGGCTTCTTTGCTCCTCAGCTTGCAGACGGCCTATTGTGGGACTCACCTTGTGAGTCAATACTCCTTAATAAACTCCCTGGCATATATCCTGTTAGTCCTGTCCCTCTAGAGAACCCTGACTAACACAGGACACAAAGCAACATCAGACTGAAAAGACAGTGGAATCACGGGGAATGCTGGCAGGAAAAGGTGACTCATACAACCTGTGCCCACTTGGGGACCAGCATTGGCTTACTAGGCTTTAGGAAGTACTTCAACAAGAGGCACTTAGATGACAACTCTAGAGTTAAAAGAATGCACACCTCTTTTTGAGTCTGTAAGTCCGAATTCACCTGTTCCGAGTGCCTATCTTTCTAAGCTGGCAAGATCAAGTCTTCAAATGGGTTTCTGTTCCTTGCCTTCTTTCCACTACTGAGTACTGGAAACATTCTGAAGGGTCTAACCCAGTCCGCTCTGGTCTGAGTCCATGCTGGGCACTAGAGGGTCTAACCCAGTCCACTCTGGTCAGTCCACGCCGGGCACTGGAAGGTCTAACCCAGTCCGCTCTGGTCTCAGCCCACGCCGGGCACTGGAGGGTCTAACCCAGTC